ATGCCACAGAAATGCTTGGTTTATTTGTTTCATTCAGGATACCTGTAATAGGTTTGACATTTTCATCATCTTTCTGTGCTGCGTCTTCTTCTCGTGGTGTAACCACTTTGACGCTCATATTTTTCTGCAAACCTGCTACACGTTGACAGAAAGCTTCTGTCAGAGGTCCAACTGCAGGGCCTGCTAATTTGATCCATACTTGCTTAGAGATGCTTTCCCTGATTTCAGCGGGGAGCTGGGGGATTCCTGGGTGTTCTAGTAGAGATAAATTACAGTCTTTAATTAATAGTGCACATTTATGTGGCTGGGATAATCTATTTTCAGCCATTTATACTGTTGCTGAATGAATGGAACACATAAATTAAATCACCAGAAGAGGTTAAAAACATCCATAAAATAATGATAGCATAGGAGAAATGTGACGCTGCATTCTGCGCATCCATAATAGGAATCAAAGTAACATATCTGCCTTTATGCAACATGTTGAGTTTGTTTGGCAAAGTCTGATCACAAGCTCCAAAATCAAAGAAAAGAAAGTTTTTCTGACATTAATGTTTCTATGATTTCATGTATATAATGCTAACTTTATAAGAAAATGTTCAAACCACCTCTTTAGACATTCTACTGCTATTTATGCCAGTTGTATACGATCTGTGAGTTTAATCCAGACTGTAAAGACTGTGAGGAATGTGTTCTGGATAAAAACATAGAGTTTAAATGCATGCATGAGATGTGCTATGTATGTGTTCAGTACGTTTATTTTCAGCACTTAATATCTTTAAGTGTCAATGTCATACATAACTCTAATATTTGTTAATTCTCTTCAATTTCCACACAGGACATCAACCCTTCAGCCACCTTCTGGTGAAAATGGTTAGTGAAGACGGTGGCAATGGCTCTGCTCTACTAATGTTTGGTTTTGGCTCCATCTAGAGGTTCCTGAAATATAATGCAATATTGTGTCATGAACCTAAGATTTCCTGATCTTTTTTTTTTTTTTGACGCATTCACTGCACGGCCTTTTAGATGAAATTAATGATTAAATTAAACCGTTAATTAATTAATTTAAAAAACAGAACTAATTTCTTTTGACTGCATTAAATCGTCATTAATGCTGTCTGGCTCACAGATTAAAATGATAAGTCATGTATCATAAAAAATAAAAAGCACCAGCAGGCCACGTGCTTGGTTTGGTCCGATATTTCACATTTGCCTGTATTGATTTCATCGCAATATTCTTAAAGCGCCAACCTGTCGTTTCCGTTGATTATTTATATAATATTAGACTTGGTCAGAGGGCCCGGTGGC